TTTTAAGAGAGGTAAGTGAAGATCACCTCTCCACAGACTTGACCTGTAACCTGGCCTGATGTTTGTCCCCATGGAGATAAATAAGTGAAATGACTGTGGAACAAAGCAATAACGTTTCCATGGAGATGAGCAGGTCTTCATGCAAAGTTCTAAGTATTTCACCAGGAGGAGTAATTAATGTTTTCACAAATACAAAACTTGAGGTGACAGATAAAGCAGCTGGAGTTTAGTCCTGTTCACACACATACACACACACACTACACACTCACCACGCCCCGCTCCCAGATCACACTCATCCGGTCCTGGACTCCTGGGACTCCGTGTGGGATTTTGGTGAAGTCGTCTTTGCCCATGGCTTTCTGTTTGATGGTGAAGGGGCGATGATCAGACGCCACCACGTTTAAAGTGTCACTGAAACAAAAAATATTATTATTATTGGGAGAGTGCATGTAAAAGGGCCATATTACACTATTACTGATCTGATCTGTGTGTCCTGCATCACAATCACAAACACACGCTCATTCATACACCAGCAATGACACATGTGCCACGTTCACATGAGTGCTTTAATTACAAATAAAAATAATTTAATTCTGAATAAAAATGAATTCTGTTTTCAAAAGTCCATGTAAACACTTAATTCCTAATGAAAATGATTATTCAGAATGAAACTGAATTCCAAAGTAAGTGGGAGGTTTATTCCGATTTTAAATCCAAATTAATTTCTTCCTGGATCATGTAAACGTTTATTCTTGTTAAAGTCCTAACAGTCCTGGCTTTGCATTTGTGAGCGAGATGTGGGAGTGGGCTGAGGTTTTGTCTTCTTCCTCCTTCTCCGACACTTTTCCCTTTTCCTCCTCAGCTGACAGACGGAAAGTGTGATGAGACAATTCTCCAGCTATCATCAGAACCACTGCACAAAAAGTTTGGATTATGTTTGTGTCTGTGGAGTAACGACAAACTGAGATGACAGAAAAGCCGGAAGCAGCTGAAGTGTGTGTTTTCTTCCCAAAGACGTAAATCCGTTGGTGTCTCTGTCCAATCAGAACCTTCCCCACCCCCAGACGCTGAGACGCATTAAATAAAGGTGATTTAACGTGTTTTCCATGTAATCATCAGTTCAGAATTATTGTTTCCATGTAAACTCCAAGGAGAATATTTGAATTCTGAAATATTTAATTCAGAACAATGAATTCAGAATAAAAAAAAAATACATCATGTAAACGTGGCCATTGTTCAGAGCTGGGATCAAACCATCAACCCAGGGATTAACAGCTAAAGCCAGTATGATTATTCTCCACGTCCCGTCCGCCCCTCACCTCCCCAGCAGACTGAGGATGGCGTTGGGCGTGCCCTGGTCCAGTCGCAGAGGGGGCACAGTCACATGAGCCGCCGCCAGAGCCCAGTCCTGATGATAATACTGCAGCCCAGAGAGCACAGAGTGAGCCGTGGTGGTCTCCCCCAGGACCACTTTACCTGAAATACACAAATATACACACATACTTATACATGATTAAATACACACACACTAAGTACAGAGATGATTTATCTACATATCATTACATTCAGGTCAGAAATATGCACAAACACTTGATCTGCTTTTTTCTAACAAAAAAATGTGTGTGTGTGTGTGTTTGACCACAGTCAAATTCATAATCTTTAATTGTACATGGGTTGTGTGTGTTTAGGCCAAATTTGAAGTGTTTGTGAGGAGATGTCCTGAGTACACTGGTGTGTGCTTTTGTCCTTCCTGGGTTTGATCCAATAGACTATTCACTCTTACATCACAAACCAGGAAGACGTTTGGAAAGATTCCGGTGTAGTTCCAGACACTGGACTCGACCGACTGTGATCAAACCCACTGAAGTAAAAGTGATCAGAGGTAAAATGAAGACTGCAGATGTATGTGCTGTTTGGAATCATCTGGAGTTTGTCCTCATCTCTTCTAATCACATGTACCAGTGCACTCAGAGTTGTGTGTCAGTGGGGAAATGATGAAAACTGAGGGATGGTTGGAATTGTTGATTCGCCGAACATAACGGAACACTACAATGACATGGAGATGAAGAAACCTTTTCTCATTTTCTTTACATTTTGTCAGACTTACTACAGCGAACAGAGTCCAAAGGAAGTTGTCATCACATGATTCCAAACGTCTCCCTGGTTTGTGACTTAAGTGTGATTAGAGACTATTTATATATTCTCTATACTATATATACTGTTTTTAAATCTCTTATTAAAACAAACTCGATCACTTTGGTCTTTGACACAGTTTGACATGTGACATTTTACCAGATTTGTTTTTCATTTGATTCTTTGTAATTGGGTGAAAATGACTTCAGTAACAGATTAAAATAACTGTGACAAAAAGTAGAGTTTGGAGGAGGATGTAACTGACCCTGCATCTTTGACGTGGCGATGACGTCTCCAGCAGAAGCACACGACACATTCACCAGGTTAATGGGGCAGTGCGCCTGAGGGAAAACATGAAAAACATCAGAACTACTTATAGTTTATTCTATATTTCAAATAAAAACATGAAAACTGAGCTCTGAACAGAACTGACCCTGTTGGCGATGGTGATGGCCCGGTGAGTCGCCTCTGCCTCCAGCTGCACACAACAACAACAACACAACTGTTGGTGGGTTTCACATGACACCACAACATTCTACAGGCCAATAATATTGGGGGTCTATAACCTAGTTTCTATGGAGATGTCATTGCTCTCCCAGGAATGTTCTACAGTGTGACATTAAACAGCTCTATTTTATATTTATTCAAATACAGGAGGTTTTATAAGGTCAAAAATACAGAGAAAACAGCCATTCTGACTGTGAGTGATAACATCTGCACAGAGAAAAGCATCTGATGGACCATTCACCTGAAAAGTTACATAATGCATCTTTAAAAGTAAAATGAAATCATTTTCAGTCAATCTTTACTCCCAGAAAAGTGCAGTTTATGTGAGATGCTTTACATCAGACTGTTTTTGTCACTTCAGCTGAACTGTTTTATTCAGAACGTTTGACTGAATAAAACAAGTCACAGATTTTAACATGTTAGATACAGAAATGAAAGAATTTCACTTGTTTGGGGGAATCGTCATTAAATTGTGGTATTTTTTTCTCACAATAATCAAAACACAAATTGCATATCATGACACCCCAGACTGTGCTTTACCGTGAAATCTCCAAAAGGTAAATTCACAAATGTTGAACCTGATCATTTCTATTAGTGACTAGGGGTGTACGAAAATTTCGAAATACTGATATATCGTATTGTTTAAGTGATGATACACTATTATTATTATTTGGAAATAGGAATAACACTTCAGAATCTATACATTTAAATGGTAATTAAATATAAATAGGATAAATGTAAATGGTTTTAATTGTTACTCCTAAAATGCATCCACAGCTCTTATACATTTAACCTGAATAAAATCAGTTGTTACTTTGCTGTGTGATGGTTATTTTAAAGCTGCATTATGTAATTTTTCAGGTGAAGGGTCTGTCAAATGCTTTTCTCCATGGAGATAAATATTGTTGCTTTGTCTGGAATGTTTCATAGTGTGGCATTAAACCTTTCTATCTACATGGAGACCAAATCAGACCAAGTTACAGGTCAGATCTGTGGAGAGGCGACCCCGCTCACAGAGACAATGTCTGTTTTTCTAGGTATTTTTGACACATAAAACCACCTGTAATTGAATAAATGTAAAGTAGAACTGTTTAATGTCACAATGTGGAACATTCCAGACAGAGCAATGACATCTCCATAGAAGCAAGCAGGTGACAGACCTCCAAGTTTTCATAGTACACTTTTAAATGCAATGACCTTTTTTTTTTTCCTTTTTGAATGAATGAATAAATGAAAGGTGATTGTATTCCTGTGTCTTCCCAGGGTTACAGGGCGATGGTCCTTTGGGAGTAAAGAGCTGAACCAAACCCACACTGGGACCATTAGAACAGAGAGAATTCAGAGTATATGGATCATTTGTACCTCTTCTGGTCGGCTGATTTCAATCCCCTCTGGTCCAGTGATCCCCAGCTCCAGCGCCTCCTTCGCCCCCTGGAACATCCACCACATGTCCTCCCATTAACATATGTTTTCATAAAAGGTCCCATATTATGCAAAAGTGACTCCTGTGAGCTTTAAGTCATGTTAGAATGTTGTTACCTCCTCAAAAACAAGCAGTTTTTTAAGGCATTTTTGAGCTATAAAACCACCTGTAATTGAATCAATGTAAAGTAGAGCTGTTTAATGTCACACTGTGGAACATTCCAGGCAGAGCTATGGCATATACATAGAAACAAGCCACCCAAAATGTTACATAGTGCACCTTTAAAGCTCACAAGGGTAATTTTTGTGTAATATAGGAGTAAATTCCACAAATATTTCCAAATAGTGTCCCAAATAGTTGAATGACAGATAACAGTCCTGTGAGACTGACCTCTGCCACCAGCTCTCCGTTCTCGGCGTGGACTCGGGCGACTGCTCCGATATCTTTACAGTGAAGCAGAGCCTGGTACAGCTCACTGTCCCTCAGCATAAACCAGTCCTTATACGCCATAAACATCTGGAACGAGTTTACGCCTTTGTCACGAACCAACCTCTCCATCTCCGCTTTCACCTAAAGAAGAGGCACAAAGAGACGTACAGGGTTAATATAGATTTAGAGTGCATCAGATCAGTCCTTGTAAGCGACATTTTGAGTGATAAGTTAACAGAAAATGTCTATTTTTATTTTGTTTGCATATAATAAAAATGAAGTACTGTATTTTCCGCACTATTAGATGCTCTGGATTATAAGACGCACTGTCATTAAATGGTCTATTTTCAAACTTTTTTCACAAATAAACCACACTGGACTTTAAAGGAAACACAACAGTGTGATGGGTGAGTGGTTTTGTTTGTTTGTTCGTTCACGGTGACTCTGGGCTTTGTTCAGTTGTGGCGTGTAGGGAGGGGGCTGTCTGTCGCTGGATTGTCGGCGTGTTTGCAGTGACTCAGTTGTTCAGTTGTGTCTAGAAGTGGCACATTGCACTCACTTTTTCGGCTCGTTCCTCCGTTCCTCGTCGGCGTGGAGTGATGAGTGTGTCTGTGGGTGTTTGTCGCTGTGCGGTCGCTGTCTGCTCAGTGTGTGTTTGTGTGTTCTGCGGGTGGTGCGGCTTTGTAGTTTACTGAAGTTGTGCTGGGACACCCGAGTGGATTGGTGAATAGAGCGCTCTGGACTGTGGGGCGCGTGGTCGTTTTTTGATGAAATTGGAGGCTTAAGAGCGCGTCTAATAGCTCAGAAAATACAGTACTGCCACTGGTAAAAGGTCACATTTTTATACAGCGCTTTTCCACCTCAAAACACCTTTCACCCATTCACGTACACAATCACACACCAGTGCACACAGACACTGAGGGCAGAGGGGGGTTAAGTGTCTTGCCCAAGGACACAACAACAGCATTCATCTGTGGAAACCTTGGACAAACTGAACTACTGAACTACTGAAGTGCTCATCGAAACTTGATATAAGAGATAAATCAGCATGTGCACAAAATGACTTGTATATCTGAAAATGTTTATGTTTTCAGCAGATCTAGGAGAATGTTGAAGTGGGACCAAAAGTCTCCCAAAACCAGTAGAAGTGGTTTATCTGGTCCATCTACAAGTGCTGTCAAACATGTCTCCATAAACATCAGGAGTTACTTGGATATTTTAGTAGGTTTTGTTTTCATCCAAAGAGATTGTGAATAAATGGGTAGAAGTATGCTGAGAGAGGAGGAAGAGAGAGGAGGAGGAGAGGAGGAGAGGGTCAGAGGGTCAGAGGATTTGGTTGTAGTTGTATCTTTACTGAAATATGTGAATGAGTGTGTTACCTTGGGTCCCCACCAGGTGACGCCGACGTGCAAGGCGTAGTCACAGCAGACTTTAGGATCTGCAGAGTTGCGGCACTTCTCGTAGGCGTCCATCAGAGACTCGTTTTTGTCCGGTAACACGTGAGCGATCACCATGGTCGTCCCTCCAGCCAGAGCAGCCTGAAAAATACACACAAGCAGTTACAGTAGTAGTAGAAGTAGTAGTAGTCCTTGTAGTTACCGGGGTTGTAGTAGTAGTAGTAGTAGTAGTAGTAGTAGTAGTAGTAGTAGTAGTAGTAGTAGTAGTAGTAGTAGTAGTAGTCCTTTTAGTTATGGGTGTAGTAGTAGTAGTAGTAGGCAAGGCAAGGCAAGTTTATTTGTATAGCACAATTCGTACACAAAGTAATTCAAAGTGCTTTACAGAATAAGAAATACATTAAAATCATAATAAAAACAAATCAAAACATAAATAATCATGAAGATTAAAATTAAAAAAGAGAGACATAAATTGGAGAGAAGAGTGCGGAATGAAAACCTTTCAGTTATTTGCACAGTTAAACAGAAATGTTTAGAGTCTGGATTTAAACAGCGTCACAGAAGAGTCTGTCTCACATGTTCAGACTGTTCCAGGTTTTAGCTGCATGAACCTGAAACTCTGACTCCCCTTGTTTAGTCGTGACTCTGGGCACCAGCAGGAGGCCGGTCCCTGAGCTCCTCAGAGTGTGAGATGGTTAGTAGTAGTAGTAGTAGTAGTAGTAGTAGTAGTCCTTGTAGTTACAGGTGTGGTAGTAGTAGTAGTAGTAGTAGTCCTTGTAGTTATGGGTGTAGTAGTAGTAGTAGTAGTAGTAGTAGTAGTAGTAGTAGTAGTTACGGGTGCAGTAGTAGTAGTAGTAGTAGAAGTAGTACTTGTAGTTACAGGTGTAGTAGTAGTAGTAGTAGTAGAAGTATTCCTTGTAGTTACGGGTGTAGTAGTAGTAGTAGTAGTAGTAGTAGTAGTAGGAGGAGTCCTTGTAGCTATGGGTGCAGTAGTAGTAGTAGTAAAAGTAGTACTTGTAGTTACAGGTGTAGTAGTAGTAGAAGTATTCCTTGTAGTTACGGGTGTAGTAGTAGTAGTAGTAGTAGTAGTAGTAGTAGTAGTAGTAGTAGTAGTAGTAGAAGTAGTACTTGTAGTTACGGGTGTAGTAGTAGAAGTATTCCTTGTAGTTATGGTGTAGTAGTAGTAGTAGTAGTAGTAGTAGTAGTCCTTGTAGTTAAGGGTGCAGTAGTAGTAGTAGAAGTAGTACTTGTAGCTAATGGTGTAGTAGTAGTAGTAGTTCTTGTAGTTATGGGTGTAGTAGTAGTAGTCCTTGTAGTTATGGGTGTAGTATTAGTAGTAGTAGTAGTAGTAGTCCTTGCAGTTATGGGTGTAGTAGTAGTAGTAGTAGTAGTAGTAGTAGTAGTAGTAGTAGTAGTCCTTGCAGTTATGGGTGTAATAGTAGTAGTAGTAGTAGTCCTTGCAGTTATGGGTGTAGTAGTAGTAGTAGTAGTAGTCCTTGCAGTTATGGGTGTAGTAGTAGTAGTAGTAGTAGTAGTAGTAGTAGTAGTAGTAGTAGTAGTAGTAGTAGTAGTATTAGTAGTAGTCCTTGTAGCTAAGGGTGTAGTAGTAGTAGT